CTGCTTATAATTATATTTCAAAAAGTTCCCATTCTATAGGAGATGCTCCCTTCGTTTTTTTAAGGGTTATGTAATCCTTTGCTCCTCGACGTGTTAGCAATCATAGGCCTGTCATGTTAATAGCTGATACCAACTCGCTCTACATATGAAACCCGCGTAACCCTCGTACAGTTTCTGGAACGAGGGTGTCTCATTATATACATTCGCGGAAAGAAAAAAACTTGGAACAAGCTTTGAAAAGGCACTTTTGTCCGTTCTAAAGTATCCGTTCTCTCCTTATGCACCAGTATTAGGGTCAGAAGGTAAGAATATGATGTCATAATATAATAATATCAAAATATTGGTTGAGAGGAGATAGTGTAGTGGCAATTACCACGCGTGTGGTCTGGGGTTCAGAGCCCGGATCGGCTACCGCCTGAACCAACCGAGTTTTTCGTGCCTGCGGGAAAGCTAATTAGTAGTAGACTCGTCTAAGAAGATAAAAAAGTCGACTCCTACATTGGCCGCAGCCCCCCCCCCTTCCTCAAAGTGCCTCATCGATGCAATTTCGAAATTCTGTCACTGACTCAACCAATTCAATCAACCAACTCTCTTCAATAGAGTGGCTTTTTTGGGAGTACTTGATTTGAGCAAACAACGTTTTCATGTACAGTTTAAAACTTTTAGGTAAAGCTATTGAAATGCGCGCTACTTGGGCTTGTTCCAAGTTTTTTCCGCGAATGCAATTGAGGAATATTCGGAACAATTAGTCTCAGGGAACCATCGCTACTTACAAGAAAAAGGTGTTGTATGATAGAACCGTAGCACCTACTACCGGAACGCAATCCTCAATCTTTAACTGACGCATCAGCGCTCCGTCGCGATGTTTGACAGTAGCACATAAGAACGTTGATATTTTCATCATACTGAAATGTTGCTAACCAAAATCGTTTTCCAGACAATCACACTTCTGGTGGGATAAAATGTTCAGTGGTTATCTACCTATTAATACAGCTATATGTAGCATTGGGATACTCATCAATGTCTTTCTATTTATTGTTATCGTACGATGTCCATTACGCAGTCTGTCCACTTATAAAACTTTCTTCCTGCTCGGAGCCCTGCAAGATATAGCTGCTTCTATTTGTATGCTTGTCGCGGCACCGGTGAGTTTACTCCGACTATTATCGCGGTCACAGTATAGCAGTAGGCTTGATAAGCCTTCATGAAAATACGAGCTTCTCAAACTCCAATGGGAGCTTCAACTTGATATCCTGTATTGATGAAGTTTCTGCCCACCTTTAGCTGACATCACTCCCTGGGAGGGAAGGTAGTTTTGCAACGTCAAGCGGCTGAGCGCCCTCGAGAACGGTCTTTTGATGTGATTCAGATGGGAAGCTTGAGAAACACGTACGAGTTATTATGCGTTGAACCACCAGAACTTGCTTAATGCGCGATCATATGAAAAACCAGAAGTGTATTGGGGAGCACACTACTTTCGCTCTCTAGGAAGTACACATTTCCCCTGGAAACCCCCTTGTTCGCGTTGTACAAAACTCATTGGATAAGCATGGTATGCCTGTATGAATGAAAGAATAGTCTGATTACCATCAATCGTTCTCGTCGAAGTGCGCGCCATGCATTACGCTCCTAGGTAGCTCGCAATAGCATGCAGTCATAGGGTTCGGAGAAGCCGACGGCCTATCTACCAACCTATTTTTGTTGTATTATTATTATTATTTATGTACTCATGAGTTTATGTAAACCATTAATAATGTTAGTTAATATAATTTTGTACTCTTTCACACATCCAGGTCCTCATCAGCGCTAGCTCCGCTCTCCAGAACTTAGCGACGTTGACATCTTCGCTCTGTCAAATGCTGACCTACTCTCCGTATAAGATCACCCCTTCCTCATCGGCCAAGTACAACCCCTTGAAAAGATCCTTTCCACGATATGTAGCATGGCGGAAGGGTCATGTCGTCTTTTGCGCTTTGGCTCATCACGTTTTGCTTGTCAGTACTTGTATATACGCCACACATTTGTTAGATCAGACGCGAGGTTCCGAGCTGTGAACTGCAATAAGGATCAGCATCGAAAAGGAAGGGACCTGTTCTTCTTTTCTCGAATTTTTCCAAAGCTTCACAAGATGTCTACGTAGGGGATTTCTATCATGATAGAGCTGTTTCCTGCTGCGCCGTTGCACTCGAAATTCATCAATGGACGTGTAGTTTGTAGTTTGTAACATCGCAGTCAGTCAGGAGCGATGTAAGGCGGATGAGATGAGTCCACCTCCAGCTGTCTTGCTCTACCAATAGTGATCAGCGAGGGATCGATTTGGGAAGGAAACAGCTAGTGATGAAAACGCCACAGCTGTAGTCAGCCGATTTCTCTTGAAACCGAGGTGACCGATTGCGACTATATGAACTGCAATTAAGCTGCGAGCTCAATCAAAAAATATAAGTGGGCTCCTAGAACGCATCTTTTCGTAGACTACGCTGAGGAAATTACTCGTCTAGAGCCGATGGTGTGCCCCGATTTAGGACTGCTGTTCCCCTGACTATGGGCAATACTGTGAGCTGGAGGGACTGTCAGCGCGCCCTGCGATTTGAATGAAGGTAGGGATTGCGTTCAAATCATGCGCATGGGATGAATTCTGCAAAGCATTTTATTCAAGGCTGTCTGGATGTCGGCTACATGGAGGGGGGATCAAGAGTTGTAACGCTCCACTTGATCGCGAGAATTCAAGGCTGTCTGGATGTCGGCTACATGAAGGGGGAACTAAGAGTTGAGACACTCCACTTAATCGCGAGGAATATTAGGCTGGACGGAAAGTCCTGCGACACTTTGACCAGATTTTCGGACCAAATTTTCCTTCACTAAAAGACACCTCCAATCTACAAGGTAACCATAGTTGATGACTAGGACTAGTGCCCATCTTTTGCACCTTCTCATTTCCACTCTTGTAGAAGTATGACAACCACAATAAAAAGAAGAGGTGCATCTTGTTTTAGAGTGGACGTCGATCTTCGAAATTTTCGCTATTTAAAGGATGCGTTGGGAAAACCAAAGGAGATGGTAATTAGAGGCTGCTCATTTGATAAATAAGCTGCGTAAGTCGCATTCTCTGATCGAAATCCATGATCTTTTGGCGTAGCCTGATCCCCACATGCGGTCTTCGCATTGCCGAGTAGTAGAGAAAAATTGAGTATTTCTGAATGAATTCAAGCGTGACGTCATCCATGTTTTGAAGTTGATTAGAGTGGACTGTGTCCTTACAGTTGTGCTAGTATCCAGAGATACCGCTTTGAAGTCCCACCAATAACCTACTGAAATCTTTATCCCATGCACATCTGCTTTTGGCTGTGCAATCTACTTTTCTGTTTGAGAGATCCTGCGAGGAACATGTGCAATGATGTACGCAAGGACTCCACCACTCGCTACCAACCACAAGATCTCACAAATGTTCTTCCAGTGTGTACAAGAAAAGAAAACTCAGTCACGGTCATTCGGTATGACTTGTCAGACGGGTCCAACTCATGAGGCATCCTTCACAAAAAATTTTTCCCGATAACCGAGATTGCGGAGAAGCATGACTTATC